TCTATTCTATTCTATTCTATTCTATTCTATTCTATTCTATTCTATTCAATTCAATTCAATTCAATTCAATTCAATTCTATTCTATTCTATTCTATTGGAAAGACTGCTATCGTGTCTCCCCTGGTCCTTCTTTTCATCAAACCAGACATACCCAATTCCAGCAACCGTTCTTTATATGTTTTAGCCTCCAGTCCCCTACATCGTGTTTGTGGCTCTTCTCTGCACTCTTTTCTAGAGTCTCAACATCTTATTTTACCGTGGCGACCAAAACTGGATGCATTATTCCAGATGTGGCTTTACCAAGGCATTATAAAGCAGTAGTAATACTTTCCATGATCTTGATTCTCTCTGCTAATGCAGCCTGGGAAACTTTCATATTTATGCTTGTTTTTTCTGGGATGTGTTCGTGTGCATCTTCTATCTCTGTGCACTTGAACAGAATAATTACTTTTAGATGATTCACTTTCCCATTAGCTTGTTTTGCTGGGCTGTTTCCGACACTAAATGGTTAAAATTAGGCAGTCTGAATGCCCATTCAGAAGGAGAAAGGGTTGAAAAATTAAGGCTGGAGTGGGTGATTTGCAGCCTGCCATCCATCTGTAGTTTCCCCAGTACTCCACAGGGTTTATCTCCAGAGTGAGTGTAGCTAATGTTTCTGGACTTACATTTTTTTAGTTAATTGAGGTTTTTAAAGATGCATGGAACCAGGCAGGATTTTTTAAAAAAATATGTTGCAGTACGTAAGTGCTCTTTTAAACTGACGGTAACTTTGAACTATCATTAAACCAACACTCGTAAGTCAAAGGATACCTGTAACAGCTACATTTCTCTAAAGTGCGGGATGGTGGTGTCAAAGAGATGCAGGAAAGAGTATTCTAGCTGATTGCGTCCTTTCTCAGAATGCTGTCTTTCTGTCCACCTACATCTAAGAAGATTTGCTTCAGATTATTTTAGTCTTTCTCGTTCTTACTTTCATCCGCAGGTTAAGAGTTTCCCCCGCTAAAGATCTTTCTTATTTTTGCCTCTCTTATCAACAACACAACAGCATCCTTTCGATCTGCCATCTGAAACCTCCCTCTTATTATACCTGGATGGGGTTTGATGACATGAAGAGCAGACAGTCTTTCATAAACTTACAAAATAATAGAGGTGACGCATCTCGACTTGCTCCCTGGAGGGTTCTGCTTCGGTTGCTTTAATGTGCGATGGGTGGATTTTGGAACCCGGTGATGGATTGTCAACAGACCAGCCCTACCGATAGACCTTTCAGCGTGACCATTTATGGTCCATGTAGGTGTAGATTGCTAAGGTGAAAGCAAGTGCCTGTGAGGATGAAGAAGGGATAGTGAGTAAATTGCCCTTAAAAGTCTTCAATTATTCCCATCTTTGCAAAAACAACCCAAACCTGCTGTTCAGACGCAACCCAATTTTGGTGGGTTGTCTTTTTCTTTCTTTTCAGCACTAGATGTCACTCTTCTTCCTTTGCAGCAATTCAGGCTTAAAATGGGCAGTGGGGGCTGGTGGGAGAGAGAGAGAGAGAGAGAGAGAGAGAGCTCTGGTAATTGATCCTCTGCTAAACCATCTCCTTCATGGCACGTTCTGGCATTAAAGTGCCTTTCCTGGATGAGAATAAATGGTTTACTGGAAGCAACACGGCAGTGCTGACTTTCTAAGCTGGCTACAAGGAGAGAATGGCTGACACTCTGAGATGCGCACCATGGGCTGGTTTGGGAACAATGGAACAGGTTGGGCTGTGAGGTCCGCAGGTTCTGTGCAAAAAAGTCAACATGGCGGCCGCAACAGTGCAATGGAAGCTCTGCTTTTGTTTGTTTGCCCATTGAAACTTCGGCCATCTTGAGTTTTTTTTAACTCAACCTGTAAACGCCCTGGTCGACATTACTTATGTCAGCTGGCTATTCTTTCTCTGGGAGCAGTATCTTTTTTTAATGACAATTTTATTAAAAATTAAAAAGATGAAAACTAATAGAAGGAAAAGAATCAATAGAAAAAAATAGAAAAGAAAAAAAAATACAAATATAGTAAAGATAGGAAAATTAATATAGAGAGAAATGACTTCTCTTTCGTCACAAATATAAACAATTTCAGTAACTCACTAGCTTTTCTTAAAATACAGCAAAATGGTTTATTCTTCTCATATTCTATCCCATATCTACAAACAAATATTTAAAGCCTCATTGTTCAGTCCCAGTTAGCAAAAGTCGATTAAAAGTTAATTAGAAATAACAATATATATGTCAGGATTCCGGCAGTTGCCCCATTTAAATCATGAGTCTGGAGCCAAACTTCCAAAACTTCAAAAGGATTTATTGGGAGTTAATATGTCTGGCACTGCCTGGGTATAGCCGACTCTGAGACACATCACTCGTTGTCATCCTTGACCCTGGTTTTCCCCCACCCCCTGGGTATATCATAATTCATATTCTCCAATGGGACACATCCATAGCCAAGGGTCATCAATCATGTTCTCCAGTTAGAATTTTGTGCAGCAGAAACTTCGGTCACTTAGTTACTATCTTTGAAAAACTATTTATGGAATGCACTTTCGATGTCCAAGCTGCCGCACTGCTCCCCACTCCCTTTCTGTTGGCAACTCTAAAAAGACCATAGAAATATTTTATGAGTTGACAATATATGTATTTTAATCTTGATCAAATAAACCAGTTTTATATTCCTCCTTTTTTATTTTTAACAATCTTAATCGTTAGTCCCTTCAAGTAAT